TGAATAATGAAATTACGCATTCAATATTCACAACGATGGACACGCAAAGCGAAACGTTGAAAAACTTTCGCGAAAGGTGAGCGAGAAGCAGCAGTTAATCCCGAATTGAATTCGTCGTTGCATCATTAAAGTGTGCGAGCAGCGAAAGAAAGAGCGGTGGAATTTATCTTGTTTGTCGCATGCAGCGATAAGAGGCGAGCTTGTGCGACACTGTCGGATCCGCGGAGCGTTTCGAATCACCCGTGTATCCCATGTTCGGGGGGGCCTCAAAGGGTTGAGGCGCCGGCTCGTAAAGCTCCTCGAGCACCGTGCAATTAGCGCGATATGCAAACGGCCGCAAAAGAACAGCGACGGGCGATCTGATCGGCGGCGCGGCATCGAAGGACATCGCTCGGGCCTCTCGAATATTCAAGAACCGTTTTTTCCGCTGTTTTAAAGGAAAAAAATTCGAGCTCGCCGTGTATTTCACGGCGTATCGAGCATCGCCGGCAATTTCACACTTGTGACTCACCGCGAACACCCCTTGCGGCGCACTTTTCTCATCTTTTCCGTATTTCCCGCGTATTTCAGCGCGCTCACCGTCAAAGAGCTTTTTTCCCTATCACCTTTCGGGCGAAAGAGAGAGAGAAATAGAAAGAAAAAAAAGGGAGTGACGCTTCTTTATACACGAGGTCGTCTGTAAGTCTGTAAGCAGTCTGATTTCCGTTTAACGTTTCCCTCCGTTGCTTTTTTTTCGTATCAACCACCGTGGAAATCAAGGAAAAGGACGATTCTCGCGTGTACCCCCTCTAAACCTCTGACAATTCTCGCTTAAATAAGCTCTCGTACACGCTTTTATGTAAATGTAGGTACGCCCACATCAAACGTATTTATCCGGGATTTTTCCACGATTTGTAATATAAATGCGAGCGGGCATTTTGCTACGAATTTATTATTTGTTGAACGACAATTGTATGTGTAAAAAGAAACTTCATTATTGTATCAATAAAATTTAGTTATATATAATATAATATCGCAAAGAAGATATTTTGACTGTTAGTTTAATTTGACGTGAATTTCTTTGAGATTTTTCGCGATGAAGAATAAAGGATTAAAGTGTGGAATAGTAATTAAATTTCTGTTTCCGCTTCTCTTCAATAAAATAGATTTAGCTCGCCAAGTTTATCAGAGATTACTATAGTGGCACTCGTTGGCGACAGTACCTATTTGCTTTCATTCAGTGATCAAAGAACGGCGTTAAGTCGATAATCTTTATCTCTTCGCGTGCACAGTGGGTCCATTCAGCGCATCCGCTCGGTTTATGAAATTTTTGCGCAATTCGACTTGAGGACGCCGGAATTAAATATTGCTCTCAACGCGCGGATTCGTTCGACGTTAATCGCGCTTTAATTTTCATATAAATCTACTTGTCCTCTTATCGCTATCTCGATATTTATAAATGATCAGTAAAAAAACAGTAAAAAAAATTAATCTATTGTGTGTTTTAACGTAGTCGAAAGTTTCGTTAATTCGTGGATGCAGATTTTCGGAAAATTGAAAAAAAATTCAAACAGATTGCAACATTATTAATAAGAAATATTAGCAGTCGCCCTTTTTAGCGGGTCAATCAGGGTGAATGCGGCACATCGTGACACCTGTGTCATATTTCACCGAGCAGCAGCGTTTACAAAGTAGCCTCGGAAATCGGCACGAATTCGCGTGGAAGGGAAGAAAGAACATGGTCTAAAGGAGTTCCTTGTGTTCGCTCGACCATCCAGCCGGCCTGCTATTGGCTTGTCGGCTTACGTGCAAGTCGGCCATAATGCCCGAACCGGATGATGGAAAAGCCACCCTCGATTCGGGCCAATTAGCTTCCGGGCGAGTAAGTGGCAGAGAAACCCCCCAAGGATCCATTTCTCTCCCATATTCCCCCCTTTCCCACCTCCTCCCCCTCGTCGTCTTCGCCGTCGAGCCGCCACGAATTGACCTAACTTCGCCGACCTCGCTTTGCCAACGGGCGAGACTGTCGCGTCGCGTCGCCGAGCCGTCTGCAAGCCCGAAGTTCATCGTCTAATTCGTTCTTAGAATTGGAAGACACTCCGTCACGCTCCCGCGCGTCGCTTCCCCCGAACTCAGATTGATTCGAGTTAATTGACTTCCGCGAAATTATGCGTTTAATCGCGAACTTGGAAGTAACATCTGTGGGATGATGGTGTGAATTGAAAACGCGATTAGATTCAACCAGGACGCGTTCTAATTCTAAGGTTCTTCTGTACGCGATGTGGTTGTTGAAGAATTAAGTGGATGGTCTTCCATTTGTATTACTATCACACACATGTTTCGCACACTTTTACAACATTTGCTATATTTTTTACAATAACTTATATTTAGGAAATCTAGCTAAGTTTGATTAAAAATTTGGAGTTTAGATAAAATTTCAGGATTTTTTGTTTGAATTCTTTAAATACTTGAAAATTGCGAAAGGATTTAGTGAGCTTATTTATAGATTAATATCTTTACAACTCTCCTATAATTTTTATAATTCTGATAATTCTATTTGACTCATTTTGATCGATACACAAAGTAAAGAAATAAATTTTTTATGCCACGAATGCAAACGAGATATCATCGAGAAAAGTCGCTTTTATTTTTATTCCGCGTGACGAAAGTCCCGAGATGGGGCCAGCCACGTTTGCGTCCGGAACATGTCCTCCTACACGGCGGGTCCTCCGCCCAGGGGTAGAAAAATCCACCCCTTTTTCAGGCGGTCGATACCAGGACGACCAACCTTACCACTACCTTCCCTTTCCGCTCCCGTGCGTTCCACCCCCGTCGCCGTCTCGTCTTTTCTTCGTCGCACCCTCGCGCACGGTGAGAGCGAGCCTCGCCCGCTCGCACCCTTGCCTTCCGCGAAAAGTTTCGCTCCTCCGCCGCTTTCCGCCGAGATGGCGCTGCGTTCGCCGTCAAGAACCACCCTTTCATCCTTCTCACTCTCCCCCCCTTGCACGTCGTACACATACGCGAATCACCTTTTTCCTCCCCCTTTTCATCCAATGGTCTTCCGCTGGCATATCTTTCTCCCGATTTCGTTATTCTCGCGTTATTCAGAGCCTGGCCGATCTCAAATATATGAACCACCGTGGATCGTATGTACAATTTGTGTAGGTATACGTAAGCGGGCGGAAGTGCACACCGGCGGAGTTCGTAGCATTGCAAACTAAACTGCACATGGTTACTCGGTGTACCGACGGCTAAGTAATTCTCGGACCAACCATCGGCCAGCCTCTTGACCCTCAAAGTGAAAAGCCTCGGTTTTTCCCCTTCCTTCTCGCCCCTGTGACTTCACCTATCTTTCAGTTCACGGTTCTCGTCTTTGCGATGCATTCCGCTCTTCAGTTTCTCTCTCTCTCTCT